AAAATACTGGATTGTGTAGTACTGAAAAGATTCATATTGAAGAAGTTAATGTCAAATATATGAACCCAGACAACACATTGTTTACTAAGCAGTAAAGATTGTAATTCTTAAAAATCAATAAAACATTTATATTAAAAAAAAGATTGTAATGAAGTTTTGTTGAGCTTTCTTCATCATCCATGTTGCTTCAAAATTCAATCTGACATCTGAAATAAGCATTTCAATTTGCATATGGTAAACTAAATAAGATCAGAGGACAGTTTTATGGAATGACTAAAGTTAAGATTGTTTAAATTGGAGGTCCCAAGAAAATTATCAAGTGGATAAGCAATTTTATAATTACTTCATGAGCATCCTATGTGCCAACATGTTTCCAGAGAATGAGATTGGATGATGGAGGAGTCTGCTTTTGTTTGCACAGCAGTAGCACAGTAGAATTCACTTTTGAAAATGATCAGGTCAGTTTCTTGTGTTCAAAATGTGAAGATTTTCTTGCTGGAAATATAGGAAATATTTTCACATAGAAAAACTCTAACATATGTTTTTCTCTGTGCAGTCTTAGAACCATTAAGTCGGCTGCTCTAAACAGGTCAACTTACAGATGAAATTACAGCTAGTGCACCTTATTATACGTTTAGGTGCATTTTTAACAAAATAACAAAATTATTTTCATCACAAATTCAGAAAAAATAAAGTATATTATTTGTATTATACCCTCTTCGGTGCACTCAAATCTTGGCAGACACATTTGAACTCTGCTTCAAAAAAAAAAAGGTTGCACAAATGAAGTCTTGCACACAGTCTCCAAAGCTTTGAGGAAACATTGTTTCCCAAGTCAAATCTAGAACACACTCATTCCTGAAGCTTTAAAACCCTTGAAGCTTCCCCCCCAATAAAAATGATATTTTAGCCCAAGTACTGGAGTTTAAGGAAGAAGAAAAGATGTAAATTCTACAGATACAAATGCATCATGACTGAGTTTCTCCATAACATAAAATAAAAAATAACCCAACACAATTTAGAGAGCAAAATTGTGTTAACTCATTTCCACAGACTTTCTTGTCTCACTATATCACTAGTTATGTTACACAGGGTAGAATCATGCATTAAAATAAGAGTGTTGCACAGCTGGTTTATTGTCTCAGGACCAGTTCTTCCTGATAATTTATTTTTCCAACAGAAAAAGAAATTTTAAAAAATAGTGTCATCCATGATTACAGCTAGGTCTATAGCTGGGATGAGTACATTTCAATGTTAGGTAATAGCAAGTACAGTATTTTAAATCATTTAGCTATTTTCCTTACGAAAGGATATGGCTATGTTTCATGATTGGATATATTATAAATATAACCAACATTATTTAAACAGGTACTCTATACGAGATTTGGAAATTGCACCAAAGAAACAAAACTAACAACACCTAGCTTGGATGTATTACTTCATATTTAGTCTAAGTAAGAACTAAGACAAGCTCTCCTGCTGTTCCTTAGGTGCTGAACTGAACGATTCTAAATGCCCAACTGAAAGACATCAGGAAATGTAATGCAACACCACCATCTGCTGACTGTTACTGTGATATTAAGCCTTCTAAAAGAGGTTTTCTACATGTCTTTCCCAAGCATTTTCCAGCTTACAAAAGGCTGGTAAAATGGAGTACAGTAGTCCTCAAATGCAGCTTGCCCCATCATGATTGTATATCCTAACAATCATAAAACAGGTAGATCACGTTGGCGAGGGGAATTCTGGGAATTGAAGTCCACACATCTCAAAGTTGCTGAGGTTAAGAAACACTGCCCTAAGCTAGTCATTTCTTCCCACCTTGGTTTCTCTGGGTCTATTTCCCTCAGTGGAGTCCCTAGGTTTGCACTTGCCTCTAGATGTATTCTGTGCAACTCACAACACTACACCTTTTGTATCTTCTCCAAATTAGGTTTTGTTCATTTCTCTCGCCTCTCCTAATTCCACGTTTCTTGTAAGCTCCCCTTTTTCTGCTAAGAAGCCCCTTGTCTTTCCCTGTGATCAAATTACTTTACAGTTTTCCCCATTTATTTTTACACTCATGAGTTCTTTCTTACATCCTGATAATTGCAAACCCTGGGCTACAGCTTCCTAACACACAAGGTATTTCCTCTCCTCTAATATCAAACTTCTGCTGCTTGTACCATTTTCCCCACTCCTCCGATTTTACTGCAACCTGCTGGGCTATACCATCACTAAATTAAAACTAATATTTCAGGAATCTGTAGGCAAGTGATGTACCATCTGGGCTTGGGATTCAGAATGGAGAACTCTAGGGGTCTATTTTCAACAAAGTTAAGAAAAGATATTTTTTAAAAAATTCGGATACTGCTCATTTATTCTCTCCATATATTTAAATTTTTCACTCACCCAACCCTGAGCAATCGGGATGAATAAAAATATTATAAAACAAATTAAAATTAGTCATAAACAGCAGCCAAGAAAACCATACTATAAAAATTCAAATTATACTAAGTGAATGCCACCTACTGTTTGCTTACCACTAAATAGAGAAAACAAATTCAAGCAAAATGTTTTTGCAGAACTTTAGGAAAATATTCAAGTGTATTGTCTGGCAGATTGCCAGAGGAAAAGAGTTGTACTATCGCATAATTTCCAAGACATATATTCACATGAGCACTGGAAGTCTGTAGTTGCAGAAAACAAAGCCCAGCCATGGTGATTTGGCCCTCCAGGCTTGGAATTTTACCAGAAATGTGCATTTTTAATCATTTTCAGAATTTGAGCTGATTTGGTGCCACATCTGCATTACCTGAAATGTATTGTATTTAGTGTCTTGATTTAAGAATGCTGAGGTCAAAGCTACATGTTATATAGAAAATCTTTTAACAAAGGAAACATCAAAAGTTCCAATAGCATAAGAATGATAAATGGTATATGTTGGCCTTATATAACATATACAGTATGACAATTCTCTGGCAATGCAGATGACAACAAGTACAGTGCAGTGCCTGATCCTGGAATAACATCCTCTTGGGAAGCTTGGACTTCCCTGCAAGCCTTTAGACATTATTAAAAATCTGGAGGTTTTCCGCAAGCTCTTCCCATATGCCCATTTGTTGTTTTGATTGTGCTATGTGCTTCCCGTTAGGTGGTGTTAGATGGATCATTTTTAGGTATTGTACTGGTTTTAATTTTACAGGGTTTAATTTTAAACAATGTCCCAATACCTCAGGGGTTGCCACAAAGAAGAGGGAGTCAATCTATTCTCCAGAGCACCTGAAGGCAGGACAAGAAGCAATGGATGGAAATTAATCAAGGAGAGAAGCAACCTAGAACTAAGGAGAAACTTCCTGACAGTTAGAACAATTAATCAGTGGAACAACCTGCCTCCAGAAGTTGTGAATGCTCCAACAATGGAGGTTTTTAAGAAGAGACTGGACAACCATTTGTCTGAAATGGTATAGGGTTTCCTTCCTGAGCAGGGGCTCAGGCACTAGAAGACCCCCAAGGTCCCTTCCAACATTATTGTTGTTGTTTTGTTGTTGTTTTGTTGTGGTACACCACTGATAGTGGTCTGTAAGGGCTGTTTTGGGGGGGAGTGTCTTCAACTCAGTGTTGACTCCTGGCATGGAGGGGAGGGGAACTTGGCATGCTGGGGAAATAGCTCTCAAATCCAACATCCCCTCCTCTTGCAACCTTCCCTGCTGAGTTGATTTTCTGAGGAAGCCAGCAGAAAAGTTTCCAAATGGAAATCACATGATCATAGGGCACTTTGCAATGAGTTGTAAATACCAACAGGTTGTCAAGCGTCTGAAATGCAGGCATATGACCAAGGCAGTGCAATGTTTTGCAATGGCTGGAAGTGTTTTACAGGTTGTAAAGCACCCATTCCAAGGCTGCTGTGACTGTGAACAATCCTTAAGGACTGGTCATAAGTCACGGACTATCTGTAATGTAACTTAATAGAAAACGATTCCCCAGCAGAGCATGAAGATAATCACCTCCTGCTGCTGCTAATTTTTGAATAGTGTCATTCAATTTTAGTCATGACTAATAAAGATAGGATTCTCTGTCATTTATTCATGTAACTTTTTCTTCAGTGTGTAATGGTGGGGAATGAGAAGTAATATCTCCAAGGAATACTGAGGACTACCAAAAGTTATCTCTTCCATTTGCTTTTGCAGCTTTCAACTGGAAAACACTTAATTCATACATAGCAAAAAAAAAAAAAAAAAAACTGAGGCTACCCTTATCATAGTTTCTTTTCCCATTTCTTCATTCACACGTTTACTGGGCAGCAGCCACTCCTGCAGAAGTTGAAAATAAATGGTACTGAATTTCTTTTGCCACCTTTTCACAGTGGGATGGAGGCAGAAAGATTTATTCAGCACTTATTCAGCAAACACTCTTGAGCTCCCAGAAGAAAAAGAACAGATGCTTGAATCGACAGGGAAAATGAGGCTGGTCTCCCTGGGAAAATCCCAAGATATAAGGCTGCCATATTTAAGCTGCAAAAAACCGAATCAGAGGGAAGTAAAGAGTTTTCCTATCACTTTACTGCCACCTAGGGAACAGCTGATTTAGTGCATCGGAGATGGGTTATCCAGAAATGAAAATAAGGTTTCATGAAGGAAAGGATGTAAAGTAGCACCACCGATTCTGCCAATGATTGCGGAAAGGAGAAAAAAAACATAGTAACAGAGATGACTCTAACGCAGGGGTAGTCAACCTTGGCTCTTTTATGACTCGTGGACTTCAACTCCCAGAATTCCTGAGCCAGCTAAGCTGGCTCAGGAATTCTGGGAATTGAAGTCCACGAGTCATAAAAGAGCCAAGGTTGACTACCCCTGCAGTCTAACGCCTCCAACCGCCCGTTCTGTTGAAAGGCAAAGAGGAACATCGCATCAGCCGCCGGGTGGGCGGTGCTTGGCTTCCAGGGCAACCGGAGAGAAGTGAAGCGCATGCGCGCACCATCCACTTTCTCTCAACCGTCAGCGGCAGCAGCAGCAGCAGTCGCCATGTTGATGCTGGGCAGGGGGCTGGACGCCAGGTAACGGGTCGCGGAGGGGCAAGAGAGGGCTTCTGGCCTGGGGCATCCTGCTGGGGCCCCACGCTCCCTGGCGCGGGGTGTGTGCTCGCCCCGGCATGGAGGGGGAAGCGTTGTCCGGGTAGGGCGAGGGCCGATCCGTCCCGTTGAAGGAGAAGAGGGGGAGAAGAAGACAAGAAAAGGAGAAGACAGAAGAAAAGGCCTGTCGACTTAAAAGCACCCTTCCTCATCTTGATCAGGGCATATGGGAATGGTAGTCCAGCGCATGCTTTACAGCAGGGATGGGGGAACTATGGCCCTTTGATGACTTGTGGACTTCAACTCCACAAGTTGAAGCCAGCCACAAGTCATCAAAGGGCCATAGTGCCCCACTCCCGCTTTAGATTTTGGCGGGGAGCGCTGGAAACTGTTTCGGCATCCTCGGCCTGATCCTGAACGAAAAGGGATGAGGCGTGCGAGGCCCTCGGAAAGAGCGCCCGCTCGGGGACTCGCCTTCTGGGCCGCACCGCCGAGAGAAGCGGCGACGTCCCCTCATTCGAGCTCACCGGGCTTCTCTTCCTGGGCACAAAAGGGGTTTGCAATCTCACAGACAGTCCAGATTAAAACAATAACCTAAACCAAACCGGGGCCTGCGTAAAGACGTGAACCCCAAGTCTTAAATGCTTTGGGGAAGGCTAGGAAAAGGCAGTATATAGTTCAAAAGCTTGCAGATGCAAGTAGGTTAAAAGGTACCACTTTGGTGGAAAGGTAAGAGTGTTGTTCTGAGCGCCTTTGGTATATAGCCATGCTGGCCACATGATCACAGAAATTGTCTTTGGACAACACTTTGGCCAAGAAACTGTTCTCTAGAGTCAGACATGACTGATAGAGAAATCTTTACTATTAGGTCTTTAATCTTCAGCAGAATTTGCACTGACCATGGGGTTGGATTAGGTGACTCCTTGACCTATTTACACCTGTACGTTGATGCGGAAGGACAATTTTTGCTAGCACATGAAACACAAAATCACAGGGGCTATTTTTATGACTATAGGTATTTTAGTATGAGAATTCGAACCAATGCAGCTTTTCATTTATTAGCTATTTACCCAGGTATACACCTCTGATTGCAACATTTACCTTAGTCAGAAAGTGGAGACCATCTTAACCTTGGTAGCAATAAACATTGTATTAAGTAAAAATAAATTCAATATTGTTGTACTTTGGTAATTTGGTCATTAGATATTTAAAAACATCCTCTGTGAAACCTTATTTCCAAATTTTGTATGTATGTATGATCAAAAAACATGCAGGTTTTGAATTTAAACTAAGCTAGTCAACCTAATCTATTATAATCCACCAAAACTGCTTTTTTATATATATCAGTTGGTATGGTAGTAGCACTATATATTTTTATGTGATCCATACAGTAAACTGAAGGAAATTACACATTAGATTATTGTTTAAAAATTTAATCATAACAATATTCAAATTGAAATATAGCTTTGTACATGAATGAAATTATGATAATTCAGTAATTATCATTGAATTATGCATTTCAGGAAGAATGCTCAAATATCAAAGTCTAAAGGTTGGCTTAATGAGGCTTCCAACTTTTCAGTTAGCTTTGTACCGAAGAAGAGGCAGGAATTGACTCTTCATTGCCTGTTTTATTTATTGTTTAAAAATAAAACTATGTTGATGAAATTGAAAAAAAAAGTTATACGATTTCAATAACTTGTTCTTTTTTTCTTTTTAATTTACCATTTTTGTCTGGTTTTGTTGTTTTATTTAGCTGTTGCTATTTATTTTCAGGGTTAGGTTCTTTTTCCTGCTCTGTGTAGTTCAGTATAGGGTTTTTTATTTTATCACACACACAGGTAGCCCTCAGCTTACAACCATGGAGCCTACCTATTACACTTGCATATTCCAATGGTGACTAGTGAAGCATGTCATTTAATGACCCCTACTCTCCCCAATGTAATCCTTAAATGAATGTATCAGTTGTTAAATGGAACAACAGGTGTCTCCGGTGAGGGAGGTCCTTGGACGCCTAGCACAGGTCTCCAAAGGCCTCTCCCACTTCCAAGACACCTGGTGCTCTACTCCCTCTCCTGCCCCTTGGGATTCACCAGGTCTTGGCCAGCTCTCAGCCCGGCTATTCAGCCAGGCAAGGAAATCTAAAGCTGGTCCACAGAAGCGATCGGCCCATGCAGGTCGCTTATAGCCTGTAAACTGATACCTACTTGCCATCCAGCCACCGGAGACTTGCAGGACTTAACCTGCTCCCCACTCAGCTCCAGAGGCCAGGAGTACTCAACTTATTTTTTGTTGTTGTTGTTTTATGCAGAGAAGCCTGTCCAATGCAATGCAATGCCCAGCTTTGCAGAGGCTACCAGCTTCATGGCAACCTGGTGCTATTCTAGCAAATAGTTTCTCGTGAGACTACAAACAGAACCTCATTAAAAATAGAGAGCCCCCTAAGTCTCACAAGAAGTACTACTCTGCTGACCAGCTTTAAACTTCCTTGCCTGCTGAATAGCCAGGTTAGGAGCCAGTTGAGGCAGGGGAAATCCCAAGGAGCAGAGGGAAGTAGGTCAGCAGAAGCAACACGCATACAGAGGGCAGTTGCCATCTGTAGGCCAAGGCTTGCTTCCCATCCGGTCACCCAAGGTGATCATAAGTCAAGGTTTATGTATATAGGTTAGATTTTCTATTCAGATTTAATGGACACTCAGGTCTAACAAATGCTGCTTCCCCAAGTAAAGTTTGCTGGTAATGTTGGATGTGCTTATAATTCTCAACACTGTCCTTTGTCTTTATTAGTTAACTCTCCTTTTTTAAATAGGGATAACCAGACCAGACAAATACGGGAAGCTGTTTCAAATGTGGAAAAACATTTTGGTGAATTATGTCAAATATTTGCAGCATATGTACGAAAAACTGCCAGGCTACGAGACAAAGCAGACCTTTTAGTAAATGAGATACATGCTTATGCAGCTACAGAAACACCAAATTTAAAGTTTGGATTGAAAAATTTTGCAGATGAGTTTTCCAAGCTTCAGGATTATCGCCAAGCAGAGGTATAAATTTACATTCATACATTTTTTTATATGTCAGTACTCAAATTTTGAATGTTTGCATGTTATGACCATAATAAATAAATTACAATTAGAGCCATTGAAATTTAATACTATACAGTTTAACTTACTCATAAATAGAACTTCCAATCTTTTGATAATTTCTGATATAGTCCCTGATTCGTTCCAGAATAAATTTTCAGAGAGAATTAAAACCCTTTTTTTCAGTATATTAAGATATTAAGGATTTGTGAATTTAAGTTGCATTAAACTTTAAAAGATGACAATGGCAAATTAATGATTATATTTTAAACTAAATAATGAGTATACTAATTAACACATTATTAGATTTCTTTATTGCAGAACAAAGGGTTTTTCCCCTGTTATTTCCTTCTTGATTGTTTTCTATATTTCAGATTCACTGAAAATAATGGGAATTTATGCAATGAAAAATTCTAGAATGATTCATCGTGACCTCTTTTTATAGGTAGAAAGACTTGAAGCTAAAGTTGTTGAACCTCTGAAATGTTATGGGACCATCATAAAACTTAAAAGAGTATGTGACAGATTTTGTTTCTCTTTTTCATGTTTTAAGGTACTTCTTCTCTAAGAACCTGGGGTTTCTAAGTCTTTCTTAATTCAAGTAATCAAATCCTAAAATCTATAAAAGGCCATGTAATTAAAATTCTGCATGTTTGGATATTCAAAACTGGCAACATCCAGGAAAACTTGGAAATTGAAAAGCATATATTTACTCAAATTCATTTAATAAGCATGTATGTATAATCATAATTTCATTTGTTCATCCAAACCTACATATAAATATACTGAATATTAAATCAACTATTAATCAAACAGTACCTTCCAGTTCAGAAACAATAGACCTGGGCATTTTATGGCCCATGGTCCATATCTGGCCTTTTGGTTGTCCCTGTCTGGCCATCAGCCACAGGGAAGCAAGGCCCTGGTGTCAGTGGGGCAGCTTGGGCAGTGGCCCTCCATAACAGTCCCAGTTTCTCCTATGGCCTCTTGGGAAAATTGCTCACCCCTGCTCCAGATACCAGTAGTGAAGATCCAATTATGATAAATGGCTGTTTTCCTCATATATTCCTCATATATCTAAAAGCACAACCTTTGTTGTATAATTTAATCAATAGCCTTAAGTAAATGCTTTTGAATTCCACAAGAATGTAAATAATTAGAAACCTCTTTTTTAAAAATATAGTTTTTGACATGCCTACAATCTGTTTGCAGGAAGATCTTAAAGCAACTTTAACAGCAAAGAACAGAGAAGCAAAACAGTTATCTCAACTGGAGAGGACCCGTCAACGAAATCCATCTGATCGGCATATTATTGTATCCTTTGCACACATACTTATTTAAAACTTTATATGCAATAGTTAAACTGTTGAAAAAGATTGATACATGTAAAAAAAATCAAGTGGAATTTCTTTTACATTGTTTTCCTAAAATATCTTAGTTCAGAGGTCTCCAACCTTTCTGGGCTCGAGGACCGGAGGGAAGGAGAGCAGCTACAAAATTGATGTGCGCATGTGCACACGGAGCCACGCACACTGGCGCGGCATTAGCAGTTCCATTCGCACATGCGCTGTGAGCATGCGCAAACGGCCATGCATCCCCCACGGTGGATAGCGGCCCATTCATGCATGTGCGAACGGGCCATGCAAATTACCCGGGCTAGCAGCGCATGCACAAATGGACTGCAGACACCCGCACCACGCTAGCATCCCCATTCGCACCCGCGTGCATGTGCAAATGGGGCTGCAGGTGTGAGTGGGGGGAATATGTGCCTACGCATGTGCGCACCAGGCAGCCATTTCTGCTGCCCAAGAGCCCATAGGACCATAGCTTGGGGACCCCTGCCTTAGTTGACAAGTAGCTATATTGATTATTCAGCAATTAAAAGTAATTACCTGCTTATAGAATTTTTTCTTTAGTCCCTAATTTGTTATAGTTTCAAGATTTACTAAAAACCGAAAGCCATCAATTATTTCTGTCTGATAAACTAGAAACTTGATGAGTTGTTTTACAGAAAGGATTGTTTAAATATCAGAAATACTGCTGTAGTATTTTCTGTAACTTAGAACATTTTCCTTTACTGTTAACACCTTCAGTCACAGGTGAGTCTTCCATCTGAAATGATAGCATAAGTTCTATTGATAATTATGCTTTTTCATCTTTATAATTGTTCCACCAATAAGAAAAATAAGTTATATATACCTACAGATACTAGGATCAGAAGTAGGAGTAGAAATAGATTTTCATTAAAGGTTTCTTATTTTGGAAGGCAAAAAAAGGAACTTGGTACCATGCTTTCTAACTAATATACTGTATTAAAATTCATAAATTAGCTAAGTAAATTGATTTTTTTTAATTAAATTAATGAATAGTATTGGCATAAAACATTGCATAGCTAATATAAATTAGGTAAGAGATCCAAACTGCTGTACATCTTCATATTACACAATAGAATTTAGTCACATTTAAAGAAATATAATCATTGAAGTCCTAACGTAATATTTGTAAATAAAACTGATCAGAATGACCAGGGTTAGGAGTAAACGGCTCATGGTGTCAGTTTCAGTAGCTTGTTCGCCACATGGGCACAATCTAGATTTAAATAGAATGTTCTTATAGTATTTTAATTTTTATTGTTTTATTTCTTAAGAATATAGTAGTATAAATAGTATAAATAAAAAAATAACTAAACATGATATAAACTCAAAATACTAAGAAAACTATTACTCCCAAGATTAAAAACTATACCAACAAATCAGCTTAAATTCCATAAAATCTTTGAATTAAGTCTTAAGAATGAAAGAATAGTTATGCTTTATCAGCACATCTATTGCAAATAATGTTTCCAGCAAATATTTCTAAGTTACATGTGAGAAAAATAGAAACATTTTCCCATCTATATCTTAGAAATCTTTAGAAACATTTTCCCAAGGATCCTAAAACTACAGCAGTCTCATGGGAAAATTGTGAGTCCCACTTCCAGTAAGGATTTATGGTTAATAGGTACTTTTAATGCCCAGAAAAGATTTTAAAAGGTTTTAAAAAGACTGTTCCTAAATCAGTTTGACTTTTTAATTATTTCCCCAATAGAGCATACTTAATTTGATTAAGGAATCAAGCTTTTCCAATTGTGAGGGTGGAGGTTCATTTTCCAAACTTGTGGGTTGGTTTCCAAACTTTTTGTTTACAGGCTTATCCTACACCCAAGCTATAGATATTGGCACTTTTCCAATTATGCTAATTATGAATATGTGCGACAATATATTGGTGTAGGTCCACTAGGTAGAATTTTTCCAAATTGTGGGAAAATGAATGTTAATTTACTTAGAGTATCCTATCTAGGGCTATAGATACAGCAATATGCTTTCTCAAGTAGTTTATCTAATTTTTAAATGGAACATTGGAAAACATCTGTTGTAGGGAAAAAAATACTTTATTTTTAAGGCTGAAAGTGAATTACAGAGAGCCTCTCTGGATGCAACTAGAACGAGTCGGCAGTTGGAAGAAACAATTGACAATTTTGAAAAACAAAAGATAAAAGATATTAAGGTAGGTATGTAATTCTGGTACAATGCAATACAGATAGTGGGGTTAGCAGACTATTTCTGAAATGGGAACAAACACAATCTTGACACAAACCTCTCCACACATTTAATGAACTTGTAAATAAGTGAGCCAAGTTTCTTAGCCTCCATGTGAGGACCCTAGAAAAGATATAATTCCTGGTTTTATTTTTAAAGTTGGCATGTTCAAGTTTAGTGACAATTCAAATTATGTTCGCTAAACAATTCAAACTGGCAGTTTTTAAATACTCATAGTATATGTCAGAGACACAGTTTAGCCCCAACAAATTGCTGCTTCTGTTAAAATATCTTGTTTACAGTGAAGAACAGTGCTCAGATTTATTACTGAATTTGATCATATTAGAATTACAGTATTCTAGTGCAATTAGAATTTGAATAGATTAACATTAAAATGTATTAATTCTAAGGAGCAGGCAATTCCCTTAGTAAATAAATGAAATAGGAACTCAGTATTTAATATTGAAACAGATACTAGGATGAGTGGGGAAAAAATAATGCTCAGATGGTCCATGCTGTTACATTTCAGATAATAAACCTTCAAACAAGAAAGTGTAGAAGAACTTTTCCCAGTTGAATAAGTTGTGGCTGCACTGGTCTCTTCTAGGCAGATACTAAATCAGCCTGTACAAAAGGCACCAATTATACAAAGACTGTTACAAACAGTAAATTGAACATTCTTCCCCCCCAAGCATAGTGAAGTTTTCTAGTTTTCATAGTGATGGCTCAATTATTGCCACAATTGTCATAAAGCAATAGATAAATATATATGTAATATTCTACTCTTTATTTTTAGAACATACTTTCAGAATTCATTACAATTGAAATGTTATTTCATGGAAAAGCCATAGAAATTTATACTGCTGCATTCCAAAATATACAAAATATTGATGAGAACGAAGATTTAGAGGTAAGAGACCAAATGCATCTTTGGTAAGGGTGTAGTCAGTTGATTTTGTAGCATATTAGTTTTAAAGGCTAGCTGTTCAAAAATAATGTTTAAATAATATTTTATTGGATAATTGAAGATATTTAAAAATGTATATGCTTCTATTCAACATAAACAAAAACTTCAGTTAAGGAATAATTATAGTCTGTATATATTTTAAAGCAGATTAAAAAATAGGTTCAATAAGCAACAGAAAGGTTTCCCATTCTTGCTCATTCTGTCCATAAGTAGAGATGCAATTTATTTGAGTGTTTCCTATCTTATCAAAGTAGATTTGGTGATAGGAAGCAGTGGGTAAGAGGGAGATTTATACTTAACTCTGTCTTCCTAATTTCAACTTTTTGAAAGTGTAATGTGCCTCCCTAAATTGTCTGATAAGGAATGTGTTGAAATAATTTTTGCTGGTTTAAGTGTTAGCACTTCAGCTGCTAGCAGTTCAAAATCGTTTTCTTTGTGACACGGAAGGCAAGTAAATAAGCCTTTTTAACCTGATTTGCAGAAATTCTTCCGCATCTAGGAGTTGAGATATAACAATAAACCAGGCATAGATAACGTAATTTCAGCCAAAAGTTTTTAAATTGCTTTTGATAATTTAAAACCGAATGACATTCAAAAAATAGATTTCTAGCTTTTCTCTTCAGTACTGAAGAGATAAAGGAAACTTCAATTATACAAGCTCTCCTGCTTGGCCTACACATATTAACTAATATCTAGATTTTGTACTGACGTTCATGTCTGGTAACATCTATACTTTCAGAAAAGATGAAGTGGTGTTATTATTCAGCTTGCTCTCTTTGCAGCTATTTACAGTACATCCTAGAATCCTTATTACTTTGATTTACATCAGTCTGTTTAGATTAAAATGTGGTCTACTGGGAGTATTCCAAGAAATTATGCTTTGAAGTGATGTTTATATCACTTAAATCAGTGTAGTACTAATAGTGTGCCTCAGAATTGCTGCATGCATTCCAAATCTCACTATCAACATTTAAGTTTTATTAACAGGTATTTCGGAGTTCACTTTATCCACCAGAACATCAAACCCGTTTGGATATTGTTCGTGCAAATTCCAAATCTCCCCTTCAGAGAACTGGTTCTTCCAGAACTTGTACTGGAATAGTTCAGGTAAAAAAAGATCTTGAATGTTTTTGTTACTGAGTGCTACAAATGTTTTAATATAGCCTTTCCAAATAATCTATTATTATCTCTAACCAGAAATCTATTGGATATCAAATTGTTTGAATGTCCAATTTACTTGCCACTTCAGTGAATAGTTAAAAATGAATTTATAAAACCTTTTATTTCTAAAAGCGAATACGCACACTGAGATGTGTAAATCATTTATGAAATGATATTACACATACTCAGATATGTAAATTATTCGTGAAAACCTTAGAGGTAATAGTGGAATTTGTTTTAAGGGGGCTTTTTTAGTACCATTTTCAAATATTGAGGTTAGCATTTGTAATACAGCTGCATGTAAAATACATATATATGTTTTGAGCTAAAAGCAGACTGTTAAATCTAAAAATGTGCGTGCCAATTTATTTTTGCATCTTATCTGTATTCGTTCATTTTGGAAAACCTGGCTGAAAATACTTCCATTTGTAAGCCATTAAACGTATAATTCAGAAAGACAGTTGATATGTAGGATAGCCTGCCAACAATGAATCCTTAACATACAAAAAATACTGTACAAACATGTTTTTCTTTCTCCAATGAGTGCTTTTTTCAGTTTTATTCTTTGGTGACAGATTGCTAGGAATCGCCTTAAGGAAGAGGAGGCAGATGAAGAGGAAGAGGAGGAAGAGGAAGAGGAAGAATTAGAAACCACTAAGGAGGAAAGATAGCTTTTGCCACAACAAAATATTCCTCAAATTAAAAATGCTAATTGTATTTACATTTCATGTTAAGATATCATAAGGACATCCATTAAAATTACAACAAAGATACATTATTTGACCACCTTATGATCTCTTAATAATATAACATGTACAAAAAGTTGCTAAAATGGAGATATTTTTTAAAAAGTTGTGTCAATTTTGACAATTACTGTAAGGAATTCACCAAGTTTGTTTCTTTGCTTTTCAAAACAGACATTCCCATTATTAACAAGGGGAATGAGGTATATGTTCATATTTATTAAATATAGGTAGTCATCCCCCAGTAACAAAGTGAGTTACATAGAATTTCTTTGATGTATCATAGAATCTATCCGTTGTCAAAACATCTAAATTTGCTTTGGCCTATACACAACACTAATTCTAAAAAAGTACTTGTAGTTCTCGACTTACAACTACAATTGAGCCCCAAAATTTTGTTGCTAAACAAGACAGTTAATGAGTTTTGTCTCATTTTATTATTTTTTCCACAGTTAAGTGAATCTGCAGTTGTTAAGTGAATCTGCAGTTGTTAAGTGAATCAGGCTTCCTCCATTGACTTGCTTGTTGGGAGCAAGCTGGCAAAGTTATAAATGGTGATCACATGACCCAGGTCAGTGAAGCTGTCATAAATAAATGTCACTTGCCAAGTGCCCAAATTTTGATCACATGTCCATCAGGATGTTACAAAACTAAAGTCATAAGTCACTTTTTTCAGTGCCATTATAATCTTGAACAAACAGTTGTAAGTTGAGAACAACTTAGAAAGATCTTGATCATTAATCATTTCCAGCCTAATCTTCCAGTATGCCATATAACTGGAGAGTTGTCAGTGAAGCCTGAATGTAATTTTCTCTGCTCATCCTTAGCCAGATTCTTCCCCAGAATCTAGTTTTTGGTGTTTAACTGAATAATCATATTTGATTTGCAACAGAAGCAGTGTGAGTCAGTATTAAAAGTTTACCTTTCAGCATTTTATGGTGTAGCTTTAAGCTTGTAGTCAAGATTCATACATGACTTTAGAAGAAAAATGGGATTTTAATTTTCTTCTCATTTCATAATTAGAATTAGTGCATTAATTATGTATTAGCAGTATTCTAACATCCATTCTATTTAATTGCAGGTTATCACATATTTTAAAAATAAAAAATGCATTTTCACATTAAGTATTTATACCTGTCTTAGTGATTCTCAAACTGAAGCCCATAGCACAGTGTTTTTAAACTGTACAAAACACTAAGTTTGAAACCAAAGATAATAAGAAATAAGCATTTAACTTCCTTCTATCAACTGTAATTAAAATGCAGATGTGCAAACACCTAAAACTGAACCATAATCTCTTCACATCAGTAACTAAAAATCAATTAGCACTGTATAATAGTGCCAAGAATATTATCCTGGAATACAATGACTGAGCTTGCAAATCAATATATGATAAACTACATATCCATGTCCCCAAAAAGCAATTTTCTATACTAGTCATACTTGATATAACTTGTATTTTCACATCTCATCTGCATAGAAAACAAGTACCAAAATTTTGCTTTAGTATGAATAATTCAGTTATCATCCAGGTCCCTAGATGACAGGAGTCCCTTTTATTCATATCAAACACTATCTTTAAAAGACGAGATTAGTGGTATATGAAATAAGATTCATTGACTGAGGAGACTGTCATTCTGACTTATCCTGACTTATCCCATACACTGTGCATAGTTTGACCATATTTTGACCATATCATTTTCATGCATATTTTCCACCTTCAAGCTGTATAAACTTGAATGTTTAACAGATATAAGCATATCAAGTAATGTGTATTTGTGTAATGAGAGGATGTAACAGTTTAAGGAGATCAACATCCTATATCAAGGTGTGCATAATTACTAGGCAGCTTCTTTTCCTCAGGCAAAATGGGCCAAAAAAGATTTAACTGACACTAAAAAGTCAAAAATTGTAAAAAGTGTTTCAGAGGGATGTAGCACTCTTGAAATTGCTAAGATATTTGGGCTTGATCACAGAACCAATAGAGGGATGTAGCACTCTTGAAATTGCTAAGATATTGGGGCTTGATCACAGAACCATCAAATGTTTTGTTGCAAATAGTCAACAAGGTTGCAAGAAATGCACTGAGAAAAAAAAAGAAAGATGCATGTTAACTGCCAAAGATTTGAGACGAATCAAATGTGACGCTATCAGGAACACATTATCCTCCAGTGCGGTCATATTCCAGAACTGCAACATACCTGGGGTATCCAGAAGTGCAAGGTGTTCAATGCTCAGAGACATGGCCAAGGTAAGAAAGGCTGAAACCCAACCACCACTGAAAAAGACACATAAGTTGAAATGGCAAAACTGGGCCAAGAAATAGCTGAAGACAGATTTTTCAAAGGTTTTATCAATTGATGAGAGGGACTCTTGATGGACCAGATGGTTGGGCCCGTGGCTGGATCAGTAACATGCACAGAGCTCCACTTCGACTCAAGACGCCAAGGTGGAAGTGGGGTCCTGGTTTGGGCTGGTATTAAAGATGAGCTAGTTGGACCTTTTTGGATTGAAGATGGACTCTAAATCAACTCCTAAGAAAGCCAAAACCTCACTTTTACTTTAATCTCCAAAATACAACTTGCCTAATAATTGTGTCCACAGTGTATATAAGTATTCAACACTGCCTTTCACAATCTGATTGATACCTTCCAGATTATGTTTAATTCCCAAGCAAAGTAGTTGACTAAATTTGATGAGAATTGCAGTCTAATTGATTTGGAAGATACATAGTTGGGAAAGATTTGTCTAATACATACAAAGCCAATGTAATCATGTCAAAATGATGCTGCAATTACAAGTGCCCAAGATGAGTAAAAATGCCCTTACAATGCATGTAGATCAACTTGAAAATGTTTCTAAAGTTTTAAATACTTTTTTCAGCTGCCATTTCCTTTTCCTCCCTATCACAGTGCTTAAAAGAATGTGTTAAGGCTTTTTCGACCCAAATTAATTGCCAAATTAATAGAAAATGTAGGCATGAAACAAAATTGTAAGGGTATACAGATATCACAGTAAGTTGCATTCTTTAGGCTATACTATGCAAAATTTTAGATTGTGCCAACTCCTCTAAAATTTAATTTATAAAATCATCATCTATGTCCACATATGCCAAATATAAAACTGTTTTTAGAATTGCAAGATATTACTGCTACAAATAAGCAAGCCATCAATGACCCATCCACATATTTCAGTGCATGTACTTTTATTTTGAAAGAAAAGCTTGAGCTGACATTAACAAAACATTCCAGCTATCACTGAGAATTAACAATGGACACGAATCCTATGGATTTAAGTTAATATATACAAGGATGACACAACCTATGCTTTTGAACAACTCTGAAAATACAATGTTTTACATCAAACCATATTTAGATAAACTGCAAATATACATGCAGCAGAGGGATGGAATACATGTTAAATTTCGTATTTCAGCTATGCATATTTTAAAGATAACTTGTCAGAACTATCAGGTTGATCCATTATTTTTAAAAAAATCAATTAAAAATGCTGCAATTTTAAAATAAGACTTAACGCTTTATAATGCTTAACATTTTGGGGTGTCTTCATTTTCCAAGTAAAAAATTGTGAATTATGAAATAATACTGTATATTCTATCTCATTTTCACCTATACCAAAGTTAATCTAATTTTGCGCTGGCCAATTGGCCTATTGTTCAGTTCATTAATAGCAGCCTCTGCCTCTTTGTAATTTACTAGAGCAATGATTGCTTCACCAGAAAACATTCCATATTCATTGTGCTGAACAGAAAGAGATTCTGGTATAATTTTATAGCCATGGAAAAAATCCAGAATTTCATTAGGAGAAGCTCGAAATGGTATATTTTTTAATTTGATCAATGTTACAGAATCTGAGTCACCATCAAAGTTAGAATCAGGCATAAAGTGCCTATCGGAAAAATTTTCAGGAATACCATCACCAAATTCTTTAAATGAGGGAGGACCTCTATTGGATGAACAGATAAAATCATCAGACAGGCTTCGATAATCACCTTCCTGCACAGAGGGTCCTTGTGAATCAACAGAGTAAAAGTTTTCATCTCTTTCGCGTGTATGGTGATGCCCTTGCAGCTTTTCATTAGATGCTGGTGGAATATTAATACCAAACTTTTGCATTTGCTCCTCGGGTATACATCTTAAGAGTACCTCTGTCCCCAAAAAGCATCGGCGATTTAAGCTTTCAGCTTTTCGGGCCTGATTTTCTGTCCTGAATTTAACTAGTGCTTCTCCCAGTCCAACTCCTTTGTCATCATAAAGCAAATAAATGTCATTGTCATCAATATTAAATCCTGCAAAGAACTTTTGTACTTCAACATTTGTCACATCAAATGGAAAATTTCTTACATACACACACGTCTTTGAGCCAAGGTAGCCATCTTGATTTTTATCCTTTACATGGTGATATTCTTCTGGTGATCCCATTAACTCTATCACTGTTCTTTTGGAAACAGGGAAAATATAAACTTGTCGACCAAAAAGATCAAGCTTGTGATAAGTCAGTGCTGATTCATATGCTTCTTCTGATCTGAACATAATAATTGCATCCTTGTTTCTTGCCTCATTATCGTGTGATTTTAGAAAAGTAATGTCCCTGTTCACTAAAGTTATCTCCTGAAAGAACATCCGCAAGTCTTTCTTTTTAATAGCAGCAGACAGATTTTTAAGATGTATGTAATATTCCTTGGTCTGGGGTACATGGGGCTGGCTTGGAGCAGAGAAAGGTGAATGAGACTGAGTTTTAACCCTCCTTGGAGACCTTGAATGGGTACTTGCTGTGAACCTCCTTGGAAAATGTGAATGCATAGGTTCCATGATCCTCTGTGGTGGTGACCTTGAACCATTGCGTGCCATGACCCTCCGTGGAGGAGACCTTGATCCAGTGTGTGCCATAACCCTTTCTGGAGATCTTGAATAGGCGTGTGCCATAACCCTTTGTGAAGGAGATTTTGAATAGCTGCGTTCCATAATCCTCCATGGAGACCTTGAATTAACCTGTGATACTACTCTA